TAATGGGTTTCTTAACCATTTGTCACGTGAAACCTGCACATATTCAAACGAAAGAACAAATATGATAACAAGATAGGAACATGTAGTATATTCATATACCACACTCACACCCTTTTTTAGATAATTCAACACATTTTTATTAAGAAATAAAAATGTGTTTATTAATGGCCCTTAAATAAAATATGAACTCCAGAAAATATCCAGTTTTTGCCCAAATTTTGCAGTGTTACCTTTATTGAAGGTTGTTTTACAGGAGCTTCTGACGAGGCTATCGTGACGTGATAACGACGATAAACAAAACAATTTCTAGTCTAGAGTCTAGAGTGTAGAGTTTTTTGTTTTGTTTTCTAATTTGTCACTTATATGTAGGACATTCCATCGTTTCGAGCAAACCGAAATAATTGATTCATGAGCTACAAGTTTCGTTAACGTAAAAATAATGTACTTCATTTGCTCGAAATTACCAAGTAAATAATGTACTTCATTTGTTCGAAATTACCAAGTAAACCTTTTTTGGTTCATGACAGAGCGTTAACGATCCATTCCATTCTTTTTTCCAATTATTTGCTTGTTTGAAATTAAGCACAAAGCTACACAATGGGCTATCTGTGCTCTGCCCACCACGGGTATCAAAACCGGGATTTTAGCGTTGTAAGTTTGCATACATACCGCTGTGCTACTGGAGGGGGGAGCTCTTTTTTTATACAGCCCTTCAGTTGCTCAGCGGTATGTCTACGGACTTACAATGGTAAAAATTGGACTTCGATACACGTGGTGGGCATAGCAAAGATAGCCCACTGTGTGGCTTTGTACTTTACTACAAACAAACAAATAAGCGTTTTCTCTAGACTAAAACAAACGTTCGTCATAATGAAACAAACAAACTTCATAAATTTCAAAATTCCTATGTCTAATTCGTGTATTGTACAAAAAAAAAGAACATTGATAAAATGATAAAATAATTTTAAAACAGACTAAAGTTTGATATCTACAATTAAGAAAATCTTAAACCAGTATTAAAGAAAACGACACTTTGTTTTAGAATCTACACATAACCACCCATAATTTTGAACTGGTTTGGTTTTATTTTGAATTTCGCGCAAAGCTGCTCGAGGGCTATCTGTGCTAGCTGTTAGTAATTTAGCAGTGATAGGTTAGAGGGAAGGCAACTAGTCAAAACCACCGCCAATCTTGGGGTACTATTTTACCAACGAATGGTAGGCATAAACTATCACATTATAACGCTCCCACGGTTGAAAGGGTGAGCATGTTTGGTGGGACGGGGATTCGAACTTACGACTCTCAGATTGCGAGTAGAGCGACCTAAAACAAGGCCATGCCAAGCCAATTTTGAACTGATAGACTAGAGAGAAGCAGTTAGCAGCACCTATCGCCAACTATTGTGTGACCGAATAATAAGATTTAACAATTATTTTTATAGCGCACTCATAGCACCAAAATATGAAGCACGTTTTTAGATTATGGAACATAAACCGCCAAACATTCGGATTCAAAGTACGGGCACACTAATCATTCAGCCACGATCGGCCCTGAAGAAAAAGGACGCGATTTCCACAATCAAATTATAAAGGTTTCTTTTAAGTTAAATAACAAGTACGAAATAAGACATAACTTCATAACTTGGAAATTTTATTTACTATAAAAATATGTTTACAATAGTTGAAATTCCTACATACAAAATGCCTTTTTTTTTTTACAGTAAGTTAGCTTACATTTAAACATTTAAATATTGAGGTTAGAGGCGCTTAAGAAGATTTTAAGAAACCATTTTACATTTTTAAGTCGTTGGGTTTTCTGTGGAAATATAAATTAATTTTGTCTTCCAATCATCATTTAAAGTTTAGGAATGCAGATGTACAAACTCTCAAGAAAGAAATTTTAATCGTGACGTCTTTAGTTTTCAGTAGTGGCCTGGCCTGGCCAGGTGCAACTTTCGACCTATGAAGGAACTGAAGCGTAATAAAGTAGTCGGTTGCATTGTGGGTAGTTAGAAGGTGAAGAGAGGGAACATACGTAATTAGGTATATCAATTAATTTGTATAATTTATGGGTAAACTGGGTAACCTTATTAATTATTTATAAAATACCGTTATTTGATGCAATTACATTCAATGTAATCCCAGAACATTATACATTTCTTTGTTGTTGTTGTTTGTAATTAAGCACAAAGCTACATAATGGGCTATCTGTGCTCTGCCAGCCACGGGTATCGAAACCCGGATTCTAGCGTTGTAAGTCCGTAGACATACCGCTGTGCACATTTCTTTGGACACAGACTCATACACGTCCTGCATATATACATACAAAAGGACCAGACCAACGTAAGCATGCCCTGGTGGCGCCCGGGCAACTTTAAAGGCTTGCCTACACCACTGCTTACCAGGTTTTTAAAGATCAATGCTATGCTTTCTTTTATATCCGACCACAATGAAGATTTTGCAGGTACATAATAACTGAAAGATAAAGTTCAATGTTCCTGTACTGAAAACGAAAAATTCGTATGGTAAAGAAGGAGGAAGGGAGTAAGATGCTTTTTTAGAAACAACAACGATGGTTTGTTTTTAGCAGACCTGTTTAAAATATTCCAAATTGATGATTTATTCTTTATGGATAATACTTTGAATGATTCGAAATATGTGGTCACATTGTGTATTTAATAAGATTAACACAATAAAGGACGAAATAAGGAAAAGCTAACATTTCAATTGTACACAACAGAGAATCCACACTGATGTAATATACTTTCAACCTCGTGGTTATATGTGATGGCATTTTAAACCTTGTAATTAAGTGTGATCATATATCCTTTCAGCTTCGTGTTTATGAGTGTAACGATATAGCTTTTTAATCATGTGCTCATGTGTGATGATATATCTTTTCAACCACGTGGTTAAGGCGTAACAAACAAGATCTGAGTGCAGACTAACCAATTTAAAAAAAACAATAACTTACACTACAGTATAATAATAGGAAAACCGCAAGAGCATATGTTTTTCTAAGGTCGTGAAGAGAAAAGTTAAAATAAAATGAATATCAAATTTCACTATTATTTCAGAAATATAGAATCTTCAAGTTGAAAGAATTGGAGAGTTTTTAAGCTGCATTGCTATGTTTTACAGCATAATGCAATTTATTAGACCAATAGAAACACCTTTCCTTCTCAGTGAAACTATGAAAATAACACACATACACTAAAATGAAAATAACACACATACACTAAAACTGCATATCTGACAACCTAAGTAACTGCAATATAAACAGTCACAAACCAATGTACACTTCCTCAATTGTGCTGGTTTAGCATGGACTATTAACGTAAACGACTACTATAAATATTTAATAATAACAGATGTAATGCAGTCAAAAGAAGAAACAAGCTGTGCACAAACGGCTTGACTTGCTGGTGTTTTCATTGTGCTCTGTGCGGAAACAGGATGTAACGAAAGTGACATCTTATGTGTTTGTAATTACCTGTGGATTACAGGGAAAGAGAAGCTCCCATATTTTATGTGACCATAATTAGGGTTTCCATATAACAGTTTTGTTAATTGCAGTATGAACCTTGAGACTATAATATTTTTTTTACGGTACTAGTATAAAATATCCTCGCCCTGTTGCGAAGTTCAAAGGCCTCATTGTACCAATCACGATTCTCCATTATCCCCAATTGTTTCTGTTGCTACACCAAGGAGGTCTGTACTCTAAAAATTCTATTTGGTTTGTGTGTGTGTGTGTTGTGTGTTTGTAATTAAGCACAAAGCTACACAATGGGCTATCTGTGCTCTGCCCACCACGGGTATCGAAACCCGGATTCTAGAGTTGTAAGTCCGCAGATATACCGCTGTGCCACTGGGTGGCATTCTATTAGGACACCTGCCCGTGGTACCTTAGCACGTGTGCCAAAGTTTGTAACCGCTACTCTGTGAGTGAGGGTTAGACACAGTTTCAAACATGGCCTCCCCAGAACCCCGAAGGGGTGCAAGAATACTAAATCAGACTCGTGTTCAGCGACCGTGAAAAAATACTCCTAGCTCCCCCCCCCCCCTTTATGCCTTGGTGACTTTACGGGCGCGTTTTGTCTCCCTTTTGCAGTGGATAACGTCACATAGATAAGGGCACCCCCAATACCGCATGCCAAGTTTGATCATGTTAGCTATGGGAAGAGTTTGCGGACATATAAACGAATACATTTACCCACAACGTGAATTAATTAATATAGGATAATACATTGAATATATTTCACTTAAGGCACAATGAATTTGCTGTTGCTTAAGTGTATCAAGTGTACTGCATTACTTTGTTGTACAAAACCTGACATTAATGAAATACCCATTGTCTTCATAACACATTAATTTTATCATAATTGTTTCTTATATTTAATTTAATGTTTCTATTTATTGTTTTTTTTCTTACTTTTGTTCGTCATAAGTTGAGTTTCTGGAGAGGCAACAAGTCTCGAATTACATATTCACATGTAAAACATGAAATCCAAGCTCTACCACTCCGAGGAAAGCCCGTTTTGCTAGGTAGCCGACGTCACGTTTCTATCGGTTTCATCACGTGAGGGACCGTTAATATTCAAAATAGGAGTGTATCTATCAATTCAAAAAACAAGTATACTCAAATCGTATTTTCACACTCCTCTAAAAATGACCGAATATATTGTAAGACAACATTTTGAAAAGGATTTATTCAACACAGGACTGGAAAAATTAGTTTATGACAAACTTGCAATCTGCTTTAGGCTTAGAAAAATAAATTATTGATACAAAATAAGTAGAATTCTCGATGTATATAATAATATCGGTCTCAAAAGGAAATGATAAAAAAACACGAAAATAAGTCTACACTAAAATCTTATGTGTTCAAAGGAAAAACTGTTTTCCAGCAAGTTAAGTGTTTTAAACATTTACCAAAATATTCAAATTTTAATGCCACTTATATAATTGATTATATATATTTACACTTATAATTTATAAACAATAACGAAAACAGTATTTTATAAAATCTGAGATAGTTTTGTACAACATATTTTAATAAAATTATAATGGATTAAAAACATTATACTCCAGAATGAAAAAACATAAGCAACTTGAAGTAATTATTCCTTAGTATGAATGGATTACGATACTTACATATCTTGTTCTCAACACTAGGTTGTCATATTTACTACTCTATATTGTGATATTATTGAAAACTCCAATTTATTTATTAGATAGCAACCATGCTCGCTAGAAAAATTGTTCTATTGTGTAGGAGTGCCTTGAAAGACCTTGGTTCTCAACTTTTAATCATTATTTTGTAGGACTAATATAAGATCAAATAACGTCTAATTTTCATTACTCGATATAAGTTTTCATAATTAATAACAAAATTTTCATAGAAGGCTAAGTGCGTCGCACTACGTGGTTAGCGCGTTCATTTAATTAACTAACAATATTTATATTTTATCCTTGAACTACTTCATTATTATTATTATTATCATCACAGAGTAACTATACCAAAGACCTTTAAAGAAATAATAATTTTGATGGAGAAAAAAAAAAAGAGTCAAATTAGCATTGGTAGCTCTTTTTGTAGTTACACCTTCACCGTGATGCCATTACGTGGAGTTACTTTCCAGGTATATTTACTACGAATCAAAACACATAACAAATAGGAATTAGAGGGTTATCTTTGTTCATCAGTGTGATTGGGAAAAGAAAAAACAAAACAACAAACACAAAAACGAAAGCCCATTCTTTTGGCACTCAGTACAAGCAAAAATAACTTCACCATACGTTTATCTATAGCACTTAAATAGAAAAATTACCTTATTTAAAATATAGCTTAATTGAAAGGGGTAGTAAAAATAATTCAAATTTTGCAGTTTTGCAGCAAAAATTAACATTTTAAAGCTATAGCGTTCCTAAAACCTTAGTTCCGTTTACACTTAACTCATGAAATACTTGGATTTATTTGTAAAGTACAGAGCAACACAATGGGCTATCTGTGTTATGCCCACCACGAGTACCGAAACCATTTTTTGTTAGCGATGTGAGCCCGCAGACTTACAGCTGAACCATTGGAGGACACCGTACTTGGAGACAAACGTTATTATATTTTGTATAAAAACACTTTCATATACACACATAAAATAAATTCTTCCATAGACGTAGCTCTTGAGATTTCAATTGAATGAAATTGAAAATAGGAACTATATCTGCGAACCAAACTCTTTTCTTTGCATGCAACACCACAAGTATTGAAACTACAAAATAATTCCTAGTTCATGACACTTATTTCTAAAGTTCTGTGATGCACGGTGATAAATGTCCAATAACATTGATGTACCGCGTGGTAAGAGTAGTTATGTTATATTTAGGCCTACTGTATAATTTGAACGATGGTGATCTCACTTCAGAACAAAAGGACGTAACTACTTGGACACGAGCCGGTTGAAATACTTAATGTTGTAGATTACTAATTCATTTGTTCCACAACATACAAAGATTGTAAGCATGGGAAGTTTCTCCGAAAAACAAATACAAATAAAATAACTGAAAAGAAAATACTACCGTAAACTCGCTCTTAGAGAATGCTAAAAAGATGTATTCCATTTGTTAATTCATTAATAAATAACCTCATTCGTGAGTGGTATGTTATCACATAACACATCTTTGGACATCTAAGAAAAAATGTCATGTGAATCACGTCCACTCCTTTTGAAAATAATTCTTTATTTTATATTTCCTTGACCTTTCAAGCTGACGAATGGTGGACGCTCGAAAGGTCAAACAATCTTTGAGATCCATTTCTGTAAGCATGTGGAACCTTTTAAGTTATTAATTTTTACTTACCTGTACCTGTGACACTAACATAATTTTAATGTTATTGACGGAAATATCAGCGTTTCTCGTTCATCTCACGTAGTAACAAACAACAAAATTTAAGTGATGCAAGGTATTATTATATTTTATTTTTTAAATCAAAGATATCTATATGGAAGCGAGGCCATTAAACTCCAGAGTACTCTTAGATAGAAACACTGGTTTGAAGCGTATCCAGTCTCATGAGAACATTTAGTCAGTGTTACTCAGTATACAAGTAACTGTTCACCGATAGGAAATAACACAACTTTGCGCAAAAACAACAAAAAGGAACCTTTAATGGTGGATTCACTAAGAGCACATGCTGCACAAAAAGACTAAATACACAAGTGGGTAGAGCTTTTCTGGATCACATTGTTACACAACATGGTCCACAAGAAGTTGGGAAGTGTCCTTGGCGAATGTCTGGACAGATGGCCTGTTGTCTTGGTAACGTTCCAAACTTTGTATATCCGTTTGGTGACTGAGTGGTATTGTCCAATGTCTCGTTGACCTAAAAGGGTATTAAAAGGTGTGTTACATTTCAATCTAAAGAGGAAAGAACAACACATGGTTTGCATCATATAGAAATTACAAATATTGTTCGTTTTTCTAAGGGTTTTAGCTACAAATTCGAATATATAACTTAACGAGAAAAACAAATAAATAAACCAGTGTTTAAATACACCTTATTAAGAGTATCAAGAAACAACAATGCTCAAAGTGGCTTAGTGCTAATTATACTCAACCCCAAAATAAACGTCAAATGTATTTTTTATGTATTTGAGGATTGTATAAGAATATTTTTGGCTTTAACTTACATATTTTTTAAAATTTTACACTAAATAAAAACGTACTAGTAAAAGAAAGAAAATTTAATAAACGTTGTGCTATTTTTATTTGTATTTTCTAAAAACGTGAATCAATTTTTTTAATAGATCAGTAATTACTCTTTTTATAGATAGAAAACAATAACAGGAAATAGGAATTTCGTGGGGTGATTGTTTTCCATTTCAAAATTTGACAGATCCCAAATACCGCATATATTTTTTACATAAGTAGGTGAATGTTTCTAACCTCTTTAAGCTACATACCTGATTTGTTATTGTTGGCTGGCATCGTCCAACCTTTTCAAGATTTTCTCTTTTGAAGACATCTGACTGTAGATAACTATAAGCTGCGTTTAGTTTAAAAACAGGATCATCATAATCTTCATACTGGGATTCATCAATAAATGCTGGATTCATCTCTCCTTCAATTGCGCTGTAGATATATTCCCTAGGAGACTCACAGAAATAATCTTCTATGAACGCCATAGTACCAGCCTCATTTTCTTGTTTACCATCTGCTACTGGAAGTGGTTTGAATTCTTCATCGTAAGGAAGGGCCTCCTTAGTCCTGAGTAACTCTACTGCCAAGGATAGCCTATTGACATAAATATGCTTCTGGCCGGAAGATTGGCTCTCGTAGCGATGAGGAATTAGTTCCACGTCCTCAGAGCCAGCCTCACTCAATGTGTCCACTTCATGAACGATTATCTCTGACCGTAACCTAGTAAAATCATCAATCTCTTCTGGAACTAGACCTCTTCGTGTGTATCGTTCGTCAAGCCTTTCGTGAAAGTATGGTTCTTCTGGTGAAGAAACTGGAAATTCTGTTAGTTCATATAATAAAGATTCTGAAGAAATTAATGGTTGTCTCACAGGTAATACCACTTCTTGCTTTTGGGCTTCCAGATTCTGTTCTTCTGTTTTTGACAATCCTCTAAGGCTTTCTTCAAAAGATGTTCTGTAATATTGACAGTTTTGCTTATTTCGGGGCTGCTGTATATTTTCCAACTGTAGCTCATTTTTTCTGTCTAACACGTTAAAATGGTTTGAATAGATATTATTAAAAGTGTCCAATTTTTTCACAGAGCCGTCTGTGACGTTACTAATAGGAATTTGGTACCTTTCTTTATCTTCTATAACATCTGGCCCAATTGATTGTTTTACTCTCGTATCTATTTTACCCAAAATGCAATTAAAACGTTGTGAACTGTTAGTGTTGTTAACTGAACCTGAATTTGTTTTAGTTATATTTTGATAATTTATATCCCCTGTAACTGAAGGCTGTTTGATTTCCATAAATAGCTCCCTTTTCTCTCTGTCTTGAAATGATTTAGCGGCGGGCGAATGACACTCTGGTAAATCACAAGAAATCGTCTTTATATCAGCGACATGATTTTTGTACGAACTGTAATCGGATGTATCACCAACTGCGTCGAATCGACTATTATTGTCTTTCGAAGATTTGCCACTACCATTTACTATCGGAAAATCAACCAAAAAATTGAGATCTCTGTTGGGGGATTGCCTAAAATTTCTAAACATGGTGTTCTCTGTAGAGTTCAAAGCGTCTCCTACGTGACCATTCTGTGTCAGTTTTATGTCCCTTGCATGGCCATTGAGGGTCAGTTTTTTGTCTGTTACATGACCATTGTATGTTAGTTGTTTACCGTGAACTGAAAGCGGTGTCAAAGAAGCTTGTTTGTCATCATAATATTGAGGGTAAGATGTTGGTTTTGATCCAAAGTTGTCACTTACTGTTTTTGAGGATTCTGTAATGGTGTGGTCCATTGTTTTCTTGCACTGCTTTATAGAAGTAGGAAACTGACATAAATGAATAATTGATTAAGAAAGAAAGAAAGCGGGTATAAGTAATATAAGCTCGTCTTCCAAAGTACTAATACATTTTAAGATGCTGTCAGATCAAAGTTCAATCGGTACATCTGTTTGGGTCATTTGTTTTCCCATGCTGATATTCACATATTGTGGACTTTTTTTTCTTTTACTTTGAAAAGTTCGACTTTAGCGCACATTCATATCTCATAGGTTTTTTCAGTTTCAAAAAACTAGCTTTGTAAATAAAAACTCGTTGAGATTTTGACTTTGAAATAATTATCCTTCAAACAGTTTCTTCCATTTGCTTGAACACTCCAAATTCCAAATTTCTTTAACCCTAAATAGAAAAGAAAAAATAATTATAATGTGCATATCTATCTTACACTATAACACACTCGACAGGAGATTAGATCATAGCTGAGTAAAAGCAACGATTCGAAGCAATAAAAATAAATTGAGGCCTTTTACTTGAGTTTGTTTGTTTGTATTGTAACGAAGCACAAAGCTACACAATGGACTATCTATGCTCTGCCCACGACGGGCATCGAAACATGGTTTTTGGCGTTGTAAGTCCGCAGGCATACCGCTGTGCCACTGGGAGGCATTTTCTTGAGTTAGATACATTAACGCCGAATAAAAAAAAAATCAGCGCAAATACCATATGAAGAATCCATATACACAAAAGCTACGGTTACACATGACCGACGTTTCACTTCTGCCTGGTTTTGTTCAATGCATTGTTTCGTGCAGCAGCTAACTATTCTTTACCTATTGTATTTATTTATTTATCTTTAACCATTACACGACCTCAAATGATGGCTGACACTGCATAAATTCATATATAGTGTGGACAATAAATATAGGTTTCCGATTGTTCAGCGGTAGGCTCGTGGGCTTATAACGCTAAAATTCGGTGTTAGATCTATGCGATGAACATAATACAGGTAGCCCATGGTGCAGCTTAGCAAACAAATAACACATACACCAGGTGCAAAGACATTAAGTATAACCAAAGCAACACTTAAGAGAAAGCACATTTTATTAAAAATCTAAACAACTTCAAAATAAAAACTTTATATCTTTCAGCTTCCTACACTTTTTTTAATCCGAAGGATGAAGATTCAGCTTGTATTTTAAAGTCTTTTTAACTTTAATGATTATCCTGAGTAGGGTAAGAAGATGTCAAAAGAATCGATCAGATACTGCCGGATCAAAATAAGTCTGCAAACAACAGGAGTAATGCCTGATTATCCTAAGACCGGTGAAGAAGTCGTCGATAAGGACTTGGTAGAGATCACAGAAGTATAAAACGGGACTATATACAACATAAGCTCAACTTGTTTATTCCATGTTTGATAAACACAAAAAGGAGAAATTATCTGAATAGCCCAAGATCAGAAATATCAATTTCATCTATATAGTAGAAACAGATGATCAGGCTATTTAGTGTTAGTTTCCTCAAAACATTCGAAAAAAGGGCGTTCATTCCTTCTAGAAAATATAAATTGAATGATGATAACTTGAGAAGTATGACTACAAGTTTATGAAAAAACTGTTATTTAGTTGTTTTCTTAAAACTCGATAAGTTCACTAATCGTCAGCTTATTCGTTAGGTTTCTTTGTAATTAATTCTAGTAGCGTTGTTTATGGTCGCTTGTAAAACGTTGTTATTTCGTATACGTATGGACATTTTGTAACAGGTATTTTGACTTACATTTTCAGGACTGTATGTGTTCTTCTGCTGTATTAACTGTTAGTGTTTATTTAAGGTAAAATTATGGTTCGTTGCTTGTTCATAGATATAATATTGAAATTTAGTATTTAGCATGTAAGTGATTACGTAATACCCGAATGGAAAACAACAACAACAACAACAACAGGAAATGTTAAAAAGTACGTCAAATGTGACAAATTAATAGAAACCCGCCTACAAATTAGCGGAATGAACCCGTGCTCCAGATTCTTATTAAGTTAGCGCCGTGCGTAAAGGATAACTTACGTCATCAGTAGAGGCATCGCTAGGTGCTTAAAAAAGTCTGAGCGCGGGCCCATAAGTGCGAGAATTTTCTGGGCGTTTCAATGTGACATCGATCATGTTTATTTATTTATTTTTTTGCTACTATGATTTTTCGAGACACGAACTGGGGATTCGTGGCTCTGTCAAATAGAATCGAGGCACGGGCCCCATATGCCAGCGTCTAGCGATGCCTCTGGTCATTAGATTCACGTATTAGTAATGTTTCTCCTACTTCGTTTACGACCATATACAGACCGCCTATAAACACACCTAATATGCAAAAGAAAACGGAAAAGATACGTTGAGCGAATTATATTATGGTCAATGACATCCTATGCGTGTGTAATAGAAATGATTAATTCCCTCTGTTACGTTTTGGTATTAACATTGCCAAGTTTATTTTAAATACTCTGTCTTCTTTTTTTTTTAAATAAAAAACTTGTACATCGGCAAACATTATTTTGCATAGATGCCAAAACAGTACTCAGTAAACAAGTTAGTTGCTCCTTCTAATTTAAATCTAAGTAGGAAGACTTGCACATATTTATTTACTCCCAAATCTAGGACGCGTGCAAACTAATATATGTGTGTTATATTAAATGAGTTAACTGTATCAGGCTGTTGTTTATACAGTTCCCTCCCACCCGGTAGCCAAGGTACTTTGTGGGCTTATAATGATAAAATTCAAGGTTTTAGCTCTGCGATCGGCACAGGACAGATAACCCTTTGTGTGCCCTCCAGTAGCACAGCGGTATGTCTATGGACTTACAACGCTAGAAACCGGGGTTCGATACCCGTGGTGAGCAGAGCACAGATAGCCCATTGTGTGTATCAACAAACAGATTTGGTTTGGTTTCTTCTGAATTTCGCGCAAATTTCACGAGGGCTATCTGCGCTAGCTGTCCCTAATTTAGCAGTGAAAGACTAGAGGGAAAGGCAGCTAGTCATCGCCACCCACCGCCAACTCTTGGGCTACTCTTTTACCAACGAATAGTGGGATTGACCGTCACATTTCTCAACAGCACAGTTTGCTTGAGCTTGTGATTGGACAAGAAGGTGTACAAGTATAAAAAAATGGAGTAAATGTGCGTACCAGTTATACAACTCAAAGATCTCGAAAGGAGCTGTTCCTAATTGTGTGTGTTTGTAACAGATATACAACTCAGAGAGCTCGAAAGGAGCCGTTCGAAATGTGTGTAACAGTTATACAATTCACAGAGCTCGAAAGGAGCCGTTCCTAAATGTGTGTAACAGTTATACAATTCAGAGAGCTCGAAAGGAGCTGTTCCTAATTGTGTGTGTTTAACAGTTATTAAAATCAAAGACCTCGATGGGAGCTGTTCCTAAAGTT